CCCGCTGCGGGGCTTCACGTGGACCACGGGAGACCAGGACACGGCCTTCACCAACTGGGCGCAGCCGGCGTCCGGGGGGCCCTGCCCGGCGCAGCGCTGCGTGGCCCTGGAGGCGGGCGGGGAGCACCGCTGGCTCGAGGGCTCCTGCACGCTGGCGGTGGACGGCTACCTGTGCCAGTTCGGCTTCGAGGGCGCCTGCCCGGCCCTGCCGCACGAAGCCGGGCAGGACGGCCCCGCCGTCTACACCACGCCCTTCCACCTGGTCTCCAGCGACTTCCAGTGGCTGCCCTTCGGCTCGGTGGCCGCCGTGCAGTGCCGGGCCGGCCGAGGAGCCTCGCTGCTGTGCGTGAAGCAGCCCGCGGGCGGGGTGGGCTGGTCCCAGGCCGGGCCTCTGTGCCCCGGCCCCGGCTGCGGGCCGGATAACGGGGGCTGCGAGCACGAGTGCGTGGAGGAGGCGGCCGGCCGCGTGTCCTGCCGCTGCCCCGAGGGCTTCCGCCTGGCCGCCGACGGGCGCGGCTGCGACGACCCCTGCGCCCAGGCTCCCTGTGAGCAGCAGTGCGAGCCCGGCGGCCCGCGGGGCTACAGCTGCCACTGTCGCCTGGGCTTCCGGCCAGCCGAGGATGAGCCACACCGCTGCGTGGACACGGACGAGTGCCAGATCGCCGGCGTGTGCCAGCAGATGTGTGTCAACTACGTCGGTGGCTTCGAGTGCTATTGCAGCGAGGGCCACGAGCTGGAGGAGGACGGCATCAGTTGCAGCCCCGCGGGGGCCATGGGCACCCGGACGTCCCAGGACCTGAGAGATGAGTTGCTGGACGATGGGGAGGAAGGGGAGGAAGTAGAAGAGGCCTGGGAGGTCTTCGATGGCGGCTGGACAGAAGAGCCTGGGATCCTGTGGATGGAGTCTACACCACCACCCGACTTTGGCCTGCCCTATCAACCCAGCTTCCCCGAAGACCGAGAGCCCAGGAGACCCTACCCAGAACCCACATGGCCGCCTCCACTCAGCGCCCCCAGGGTGCCCTACCACTCAGTGCTGTCAGCCACTGGGCCTGTGGTGGTCTCTGCCACCCGTCCCACACGACCTTCTGCCCGACAGACCCCTCTCTTCTCCGCCACCCGCCAGCCCCTGAGCCCTGCCCTCCGACCTGCCATGGTTCCGGCCACACGCCCAGCTGTGCCCCCTGACCAGCAGATGCCCAGGGTCGAGGCCGGCTCTCCAGATCGGCACTCTGCCCACCAGCCCCGAATTATCTCTTCCACTCTGCCAGCTCGTCCCCCTCCCCACCAGCCCCCGCTTATCTCAGCCAGATATCCAGAGCTGGCCCCTGCGCCCCAGCCCCCTAGGTCTCCAGACGCCCAAGGGGCTGACACCCAGACCATCATTCACCGGCCTCCAATCCGGGTTGATCCTGTCCCTCAGGACCCCAGTCGCAGCAGCCATCAACCCCCACTGGCCCCAGGTTTCCCAGGGCTCAGAACCCAGCCCCCCCAGCTTCCTACGATCTCCACGGTCCAGCCCTCACTGTCCACCATATCCAGGTCCCTCGGGACCTCAGTCCCTCACCACCCTGCTGCCTCCCAGCCTCCCAGCCTCCCCCCTCCTCGAGAAGGCCCCACGAACCAGACCTCAGCCAACAACTCTCCCCAGCCCCATGTCCCCCAACTCCCCAGAGAAGGAGGGCCCGGTCCCAGGTTGGCCCCCTGGCTGCCCTCTGTGGTGCCCACAGCAGCCCCAACAGCTCTGGCAGAGGCCGGTCTGGCAGGTCGAAGCCAGAGGGATGATCGCTGGCTGCTCATGGCACTGCTGGTACCAACATGTGTGTTCTTGGTGGTCCTGCTTGCACTGGGCATCGTGTACTGCACCCGCTGCGGCCCCCACGCCCCCAACAAAAGCATCACTGACTGTTACCGCTGGGTCATTCATGCTGGCAGCAAGGGCCCCACGGACCCCATGCCCCCCAGGGGCAGTATCACAGGGGTACAGACCTGCAGAACCAGTGTGTGACGGGGCACAGATTCCCCCTGCGGGGTCGGGGGAAGGGACACGGATGCTGGACACAGCCGAGGCTGGACCGGGGACCTCTGGGGGGACTGCCCAGCTGGACAGAGGGCATTCTGCCTGCCGGGCCCAGCACCTGTGGCAGAGGACACACTAAAACCCCCCACTAGGTGCTGGGGTCTCCTCCAATAAATGGGGTGTCAACCTCACCCAAAGCTCCTGATCCCCATTGATGCTTGAGGGGAGGGTCTGGGAGGTCTCAGAAAAGCAGTAGATCTTCCTTTGTCTAGGTAAGGTAAGACCCTCCCCACCTAACGAAAGGGTATGCTTCAGGGATTCTCAGGGAAGCAGGAGCTCAGAGAGGGCAGAGCCTTGCCCACCGTCACACTGCAAGCCCAAAAGTCGGCTATTTGCCAGAGGGAGAATTCCATATTTGTTCCTCTTTTGACTGAAACTTCAAGAAAGGAGTGCTGAATTTGGGGGAGCACTCTGGGGTGAGGGCTTCTGTTCCACTGAACAGGAGCTAACCTGGGGACTGGAGCCAAAAGTGGGTTCTGGAGCTGGTGCTTCAAGGGAGAGAAGGGTGTATGCTGAGTTCCTGTGAACTTTCTCCTGAACGTTCCTTTCCATCCTTGCTCACAAGTCAGGGGCTGGGGCTCAGGGTCACCCAAGGATGCTGCCACCCTTGCCTCCTGGGTGCTTTTGGAGGCGTTCCTCCCTCCTTCCTCTCCCTTCTCTGGAGAGAAGGCAGGAATCAGAGCCTCCGGAGACTGGGATGAGGAGTGGATGAGGAGAGCCGATTGAGGCCACAACAAACAGCCTAGGTCAAGCTCCCTGGGCAGCGCCCTTTGCTCTTCTCCGTGTGGGGTGGGGATGGGGAGAACGCAGCGGACTCCAGCTGGAGTGAGGATCCCGAGCAGAGGCTGGTCTGTGGGGTAACCTCCCTTACCCGGGCCTCACTGCCTTGGGGGGGAGGGGAAGGACCTGGGCGGGGGAGGCGCCGGTTCCCACCACCTCTATAATTTTTCAGTTTCAGCCTCTCGGAGTCTCTAATTAAAACGGGGCAAAGCAGTCACTACCATCTCGACAGGCAAAGTTTGGGGTGGCCCAGAGCCCCTTCCTTACCCAGATCCCTCTGGCGAGGGGAGTGAGCCCCAAGGGCAGAGGGGAGGCGGGGCTGGAGCTGGGGGCGAGCCCAGGAGGTCGCAGAGGGGGCGGAGGGAACGCGACGCGCCGCCCCCAGCCGCCACTCTCACGTTCCCCTAACTCAAACCAGACGCCCCCGCCAGATCCTGCCCAGGTTTAACCTCCGAGACGCCGCCAGGGAGGTTTGCCGGGTGGAAGTGGAGTCCCGGAGCTATCCCGACGCCTGAGTCTGGGAGGGAGGTGAGGTCGCAGCTCGGGGAATGACACAGTCTGCGGGGACTGGAGGACTAGAGGCCCCCCTTCCCCCCGCCCCGTAACCCTGCTCAGGACGTCCAGAGCGCCCTGAGGACAGGGAAGAGTTAAATGCACTGTAGTCGGACGGGGGATGGGAGTGGGGAAGGGGGCCCAGAGCCGGCTCTTTGTCATCCGGTAATGAGCACCAGATGCGGAGCTGCGTGCGGGCCTAAACAGACGGCCTCCCAGGGCAGAGCCCCTGCCTGCGCCGCGCCCGGGCTCCGCCCACGGACCGAGGCCCCGCCTTGCCCTGGCCGGACTCGGCGGGGGAGGAAGGGGTGGACTCCGGCGCTATTAGCCCCGCCCCTCCGAACAGGAACCACGCCCCCTCGGGAAGCACTCCATAGGCCCCGCCCATCAAAGCTGACAAGCCTCACCCCCTGCCAGCTCAGAAATGCCTACAGAACCACTACCCCGCCCCTTCATCATATCAGCCCCGCCCACTCGCCCCAAGCCCCGCCCCCGGAGTAGGCCGGCGCAGGCTATCGTTAGTCTTTCCCGAGGTATGAACTCCGCCCAGACTTTACACATTCTCTCTCTTTGATGAGCCACAACTGCAGGCCCCGCCCGGGCCCGGAGTCTGGGACTCTGCAGGGAATCCCGCGGGGATATGAACTCTGTCCAGTAGAAAACCCCGCCTTCCAGGAAACTCGCGAAGTCCCCTAGAGCTCTTCCGCGGGCCTCGGCCCCGATGAGAGCCCCGCCCCCTCGCCGAGCTCCCACGCGGGGAAGAATTCAACCTACTTAGAGCTAACGCACTTCACTTAGAGGTAATGGCTCACCTCCGGCGACCCTCCCCGGCCCGGCCCGGGAAGATGCTGAGAAGCCCCGCCCTTAAGTCCGGCCACCAGAAAATATGTCCTGCCCACAAGCACTGCCCACGCAGGTTGTAGGACCCAACCTGGACTTCAGGCTCCGCCCCTTGTGCACAGACCACGCCCACAGCAAGGCTCCACCTTTGAGATGCAAGACCCTCCAAGATCTCTCTCTCTCACACACACACACACACACACCCTCTAACACACACACGCACCTTCTAATACACACACACACACACACACACACACACCCTCTGACCAAGAGGCCCCAGTGCCCTCACCCACGGAGCCTCAGGATCTCGGGTTCTCCGGAAGGAGGAGAGCGGGACAGATGGCGTCGGAGAATCGGCCTTTAGCGCCACCTGGCTTTAGCTTTAGCACCTCCGATACGCAGCCACCGCAAGGATTCACAGGGGCCCTACGTTGGAAACAGTGCTCCCTAAATAGTTGCTTAATTTGTTAGATGTTGTGTCCCTTAAATATCTGATAGATGTCCCTTAACCTCACCTGAGGACAGGTGCTCTTAATTGTATTTGGAATTCCATCCGCAGGGGATTATCTTATCATCCTTTAAGCCTCTTTGTAAACTGAGACGCTCTGGAGTTTTATCTTATCTGCCTGTCTATCTATTGTGCTGGTACTAGGACTTGAACTCAAGGTCTGGTCTGTCTCTTAGCTTTTTTTTGGGTCCAGTCATGGGGCCTGAACTCTGGGCCTGGGCGCTGTCCCTCAGCTCTTCAGCTCAAGGCTAGCGCTCTACCACTTGAGCCACAGCGGCACTTCCGGCTTTTTTCTTTTTGTTTATGTGGTGCTGAGGAATCGAACCCAGG